TTGCAGGGGACAAGCAGGACTGTTTTTTTCAGTATCATCTTGCACATGTTCCCAAATAAAGTGACCATGTAATGATGGCTTGGCTTTCCCCAGAAAAAGGAGGAACAGAAACATGCTCTTGAAGGATATGAGTGTAGAGTGGCTGTTTTCCAAACACCAAGCAAATGTAGTTAGTGTACTTAGGGCTTCTCCCACTCAGTGCTGTATCAGCTTCTAACCTGTAGCACACTGTCCAGCTGGATTTATCTGGCTACTTACTGACCACAGTTTAACCCTTCTGTTGCTGATTTTAGCTGGCATTTGGAAGGAGGAGGTACAGACGAATTGTCAGGCTGCGAATCTGTTCTTCTAATTTAAAAATTTATCTCAAGAATTACATGGCAGGACCATGTCAGAAGGGACAAGTTTCTGGCCTGTGGATTAACCAGGGTGGTGCAATTTGAACTGCCTTGGAGCTAGAGGGGGTGAGGACGGGAGCCTGCATGGACAGGAAAAGGCTTAAAGTTGCCTTGCTGTCTTCTTGCTGGTGGAACAGCATCAGCTCTTTGTTTCCCTCCTTAAGTTGCCAATGCACATGCAAGAGAAGATACTGGACTCCCAGATGCCCAAAGACTGTTTGCCATCTGCTCTGAGTGCAGGGTAGCCAGCTCACTGGAGATGTTCCCTGACTCACTTTCAGCCTGGAGCTGCCTTTAGGATGGAGTTCTCTCTCAGCTCCAGGTACTTCTCTAAGTTTGCTGTCCTTTTCAATTTACTCCCTGTGGCAATTAAGGGAGTAAGGACTCATAGCAGGATCCCATATGTGGAAAGCTGGCAGGTTTAAAAAAGGAATTGAAAATACAGTGGGAAGTAATCTGTGTTTCTCTCTAGAGCTAGGTAGCACCACTTGAGCATAGATTGCATGCATTATACTGTTTATGAAACATCCCAAGGCCAAGAATATGACTTGGTTTTATTTCTTTAGGTATCAGCTATATTTAGTCAAATTAAAGAAGAGAGGAGAAATTCACTCGAAGAAAATACATGAGCAAAGTTAGACAAAGAAAATTTACTAGTCTACAGTGGAATGGTTCCTTCTGAGTTATTTCTCCAGTTCTCATTACAGAGCAGTTGGATAGTAAAGTTAGGAGAGATTGTGCTGCTGAATTATGACTGTTGCTGCATGAAGGAACCTCACCTGCTTTATGTGAGCTGTAAAAGAAAATTGATAATGACATTTTAAAGACTTCAAAATATGGGTGGCTTAACAGAGTGGTCTGGTATAACTGCTGCTTTTGCATAATAGAATAGTACAAGAGCTGATCTATGGCAGATTTAGAGAGTTTTCATTTTTGTAGAGGTAGAGAGAGGCTTCAGATTTGCTATTATAAATTATGAACTAAAATAGTAAGTTTGAATTGAAATGCTTTAATGGTTTCCTTGTTGAGTTCTTATGAAATTGATATCTCCCTATGAAGCAGTTGGATTTCATGGAAATGGCAATCCTCACCAATAAGAAAGAAAAGTCAGTGATTTTTGTTAAAACATAAACTTGCAGGAAAAGAACCACTTTTAAAATTGTGAGGATGAGTCACCTTGCTGTGCTAGGTTTAAGGCTTGTTTGTTAGTGCCCCTTCCAAGCAGGAAGGGTGCAAGAGTCCCAGAGGGTTCTGTGAGCAAGCCTGTGTATTTACAACACATCCCCTGCTCCCATGGTAACTGCTGAAGGATATGGATTTATCCTGGGGCACATTGGGTACTTTAGCTCATCCTGTCATGGAGAGAACATGAAGCCACCTCAGGTTTACCACGAGGCAGAAGTATTCAGCAGCAGTCAGCTTGTGTGCAGTAAATCAGAGCCTTAGTTTACTCTTGAGGATTTGCTGATTTATCCATAGGCTAAAAAAAGTTTGAATTTAACTTTTTAACATATTTTCTTTTAGTTCCTTTGCTTTTAATTTCTCCTGTTGATGGCTAGATAATTTCTGTGCTTTGCCACCTGTTTAATGGATTTGATAATTACCTGGTCATGTCCTGGAACTTTTCTGATGACTGTTGGTTTTACTGTGGTCACCTAAGGAGACGAGGCTTATCCTGTGTGGTGTTCTCATCCCTGTCCTGTTTTGAAAATGTGAGTGTGAAAGATAGGAAGGGAGGATACTCTCCCTGTTTCCAGCATGAGGCAGTAGAAAGTGATTATTTAGCCCTTTGTTTCTGTATTTTCTTAGTTTTTGTGGCTACAAGTCATGTAGTTCAGGCTGTTCCCAGTGCTGTAAGGGTCTTTGTACAAGAGCTGATCTTACATCCCACATGGGGGACAAGGCAGCAAGTGGAAAACTGGGTTTCAGGGTGTAATTCCAAATTTCTTGAACTCCCACAGGTTTTAATTTGGCTTCATGTTATTTGCAGATTTTTTTGTGTGTGATTTAATTGAGTAGTCAGTGTGAATTTTGTGGTGTTCGTGTGTATGCAAGGGAGAGGGAGATTTTCTAAGTGTTCAGTGTTCACATGGACATAAACAGGTGGGTTTCCAGCAGAGACATTTGCATTTGAAAACCTGCTCTAAACGGGCTGGGCTTTCCCAGGAGAAGCAGCACCAACAGTGAAACACAGCGATCGATCAGCATAGAATTGTGTGAGCATTTGATGGGCAAAATGTTGTGGTATAAAGACAGGGCCCAAGAATAAGCTCTTTGTGGCTTTGTTTCATTCCTGAAAACTGTGACTGAGAGGCTTTTATCATTTTAAAAAAATTAATCAGCCACTTTTTGTCTAACTTGGAAAATATTGCAAGATATCCCTTGCAACATTCTAAGGGCCATTTCTTTGATCAGATTTTGATACTAAAAAAAATAATTTTTCATTTGTCCGATTATATTTCCTCAACTCTAAAAGCAAAGTAATATTTGAACCAGTCCTTGCAGTCCCAGAGCTGGAAGCGTGTAATTTAGTGTACATAACCATAAACTCTTTGAAGCAGCTTGCATTCACTATGTTTTCTTTCTTTCCTAATTTTGACTAAGGAAAACATTCCCTTACTTATCACAGCACTTCTGTTACATGCCTCATTTTTCAGGCTAAGTTCCTTATGGTAGTTAGAGTTTATTTTAATTCTTAATCAAATGAGCTGTCCAGGAAATTAATCTGAAAAGACATATATAACAAATGTTCAAACCCACACCAATGGGGACACCCAGTGGAGACACACTGAGTTGCCCAACATTACAGGCAGGAGCAGACCAGCAGCTCCTCGTCAGGGAGAGGACTGCAGGTATTTTTAACCACAGCAGTTCTGAAGGAGCTCTCATTAGTTTACCTGCCTGCTGCTGAGGGCTGCCTTGAAGCATCCTGCCTTTGCTGCCCTTGCACAGTCTGTGCTTGTCGTCGTGGCAATGAAAAATGTCTCTTGGAGAAAAAAAAAAATCTGAAAGGTTTTTTTTTTACTAAAAATTGTCATTAAAGGAATTATTAATAATAAATTTGGTCCTGATGCACAATTATTGCAGTGGGGTGTGCAAGCACCCAGTTCCTTGGTGGTGTTTAATGTGACAGGGAATGAGTTGCAATTCCTGACAATTCAAAAAGTTTTTCTCTTGCTGTTGCAGACACTGCCACATTCATCTATTAGCCCTGTAGATATTTAAGGGGTGTCCTGTTGTCATGTATTTGGAAGGTGATGTGGGAAGGTCAGGTGAAGATCCAGGACCATCCAGGATCCAGGTGCCCAGGGAGGGCACCTCTCTGAATTGGATCCTGCTCCTGTAGCATGGGCGATGCTCCAGCCTCGACAGACAGCAACTCAGATAACCACTGTTTTCCAGTGTGCACTGGAATTCCTAGTCCTCTTCCAGTGGGCAAGGCCTCCTCTCCTGCTGTTGTAAGTGTGGCCTTGGAAGAGACACAGCAAGGACAGCAGCCCAGACTGCTTTCATGGATGAGCTTGGTCAAGGAGAGGGGCACTGGGCCTGCCACTGACTTTGGAAGCAGGCAGGCAGTACTCAGGTCATCCCTGGGGCATTACACCTATCTCAGAGGGCAGAATGTGGATTCCAGGTTGTTTATTTGTGTGTACAATAAAGCTCTGCTTGGACAAGCACAAGACCCAAGATAAAAGCAGTCAGCGAGGCAGCATTACCACGCATGCTCCAGGAACTGCATGCAAATGGAGTGTGCTTTAATTGCTGTGAATGTGGTCATGGCTGGTTGTTTTACTTCTAGTTCACTCAGAAAGCAAGCTTTAGCCTTTCCTGTGATGGGGCAGCATCAGACAGATGGGTTCTGGTGTGCCTTCTGGCATGCACTAGCTGTGGAACATGGGATTATCTGGGGTTTTGTCTTTCTAAGTAGGAGGGGAGGAAAAGAAAGGAATGCCTGCCTTGTTTTGATGCAGTCTGTTCTGACACAGAATGAAATTTATAGCCTATTGGTTTTCTCATTGTTTGAGAAAGAAGAAACATATTAATTATAATTCTGCACCAGAGCTGCCCAGACAACTGGGAGAGAGAGTGATTTTGACTTACACTATCACAAGGTGGGCAGCAGAATTTTTATTAAATATAGCAGGGTAATATTCGTGTTTAATTCAAATTTGAGAATATTTTCTCTGTGGCAAATTAAGAGTGTGAATTGCTGTGGCAGTGGGCATCTAGTATGGCCTGCTGACTTTCTGTGCCTTCTCAAAAAAGGAGACTAATAGTAAATGAGAGACAGGCTAATTTTATTTGCTAGTATTTCCTGTTGGGCTTAATATCAAAGTAGGACAGTGTTTTTTGCCACAGGACTCAAGAGTGGGCAATTTTGAAATCAGTGTTGAACTCAGATGACTCAATGAGATTCCATTCCTGTTTCAGGTGGTTCAGAGGCTCAGCAGAGCTGGCCAGGGGCAGTCACTGTGAATAGTCACCAGTGACTGTTCCAGCCCAGGCTGGAGGTCCCTGCCTGGCAGCAGTCAGGAGCAGCTGCCAGCAGAAGGAATGTTCTAGCAGACTTCACAGACTAAATATTGTTTCTTGTCCTTGCAGAAAACACCTTTTGCAGCGGTGACCATGTGTCGTGGCACAGCCCTTTGGACAACAGTGAGTCTCGAATCCAGCACATGTTGCTGACAGAAGACCCCCAGATGCAGCCGGTGCAGACTCCTTTTGGGGTCGTCACTTTCCTGCAGGTACGGCCCAGCCACCATGGCTCCCACTGCCACCTCCTGGGCCTGGAGTGCAGCTAACATTGTGCTGAGCTGTGTAACTCAGATATTTCTTATCCTGTCTTCAGTTTCAACATGAACATTGAAAAAAAAAATGTTGAGAGAAACAGTTTTAAAAGGTAATGTAAAGATAAATGAAAATTAATTCTATGGTAGTATCGGTAAGTGATCCACTGGTTTGAATGCCAGGAAGAGAAGAGTTTGGAGCAGGACTTGGAGCTGTTTTAGCAGTACTTAATGGCAGAAATGTAGCTTGCAGCACTGACACAAAGATTCTTTAGAGGCTGAGTTTTCCTGTATTGATCTACTGTTTAAGAAAGGTTTGGGTTTGCTTTGCAAAAGAAACACTAAAAAAATCCCTTGTGATTTAACTCTGCTGTTCAGCATGGAGAGCTTCTGTGGCCAAACAGGTTTGCTTGCTTTCCCAAAGTCCTTCTCAGCGATGTTTCTTAGATAGGGGCTGCTTTGGATGTTTTTAAATTGCTTATTGGGTTAATAACCTTAGTGGAAGAGTGGCATAGTTTATGCCAGCTGGTGATTTCTTCAAGCTCTGTGGAAAAGCTTCCATCCTGTGGGAAAATGCAAGTGTCTGTATTTTACAATTTAAGCTTCTAGTTGCTCCCATTTGTCTTTGGCTGTAGTTACAACATGCAAAAGGAAGTCCTGTTACCACAAACCTGCACAGGACAACTGCTCTGCAAGGCTTTTCTGAGGTGCCCAAATGTCTGTGTTTTATCAACAAAAACAAGGTGGGTGTGAGATTAATTAGTGTAAGGTGAGTTGTGGGACCTGGAAGGAGAGAGAGAGAGCCAAGCTAAGCAGGATAATCCCTGGCTGACTCTCCAGCTAGTACTGTGTTAGTCCTCATCTCTTCTTTAGTGCCCAGCTGTCTTGAATCAAAGAACAGTCAGCTTGCTGCATCCTGAGGCCCTTGGCCTCTCATCTTCCACAACACATACAGTTGACTTGGTTTTCCCCTTTGTTTGATGATTGTTGTTATGAATTTATTTTGACCCATGAGGATAAATGATTACAAAAAGCAAAGAATGAATACAAAATAATTTCCTGTTTAGAGTCTTGCTGTTTGTATGTAATTAGCGAGTGAAGGCCCAGGGAGGGGTGTCCTGAGGCAGGGGTGATTCAGGCTGTGGAGGAAGCCTGGAAGATGGGTGGGGATGAAGTTCACCTCCAAGGGCTGCGTCCTGACAAAGTGAACTCTGCAAGGGGCAGGAGAGCTAGGGTGTGCAGAGCTGGGTGCTTGCTGACATGAGAGTTTTCCACGTAGATCTCTATCAGTGCAGTTATGTGCCTACAGCAGAAGGCACATCCTTCACTTCTGCTTGCTGCTCTTCAGAGCTTAGTTTCCAGTTCTCCTCTTTTCTGATAAAAGATCAGTTGAGCAGATTTTGACGAAAAATTCAGTGTTGTTGGAAAAGACTTAAGAATATTGAGGAAGAAAATAGAAGGCCGTGGCAAAAAATATTTTTCATCTCAGGGTGAATCATTGTGCTCAAAGACACAAACCAGTGGTTGATACAGCAGGAAGAAACTGCCTTCTGCTATCAGCTGAAGGGTGTTTCACCCCTTCATTTGAAGCAGCTGATCTCAGCTGCTGTTAGAGAGACATCTGGTATTGCTCAGTGTGGCAGCTCCTATCCTGAAAAGCAAACACATCCTGCATTATACAGGAAGGCAGAAGTCTGCAGTTGCCTGCAGTGACAAGTGGATTATGTGGTGTGTAAGCAGCTTTACTTTATGGTGCTGGGTAAGATGTAACCAGTCAGCAAACTGAGTTGGTCAAGGATTTTATGAGCAGCAAAGCAATCCCATGTGGCAGCAAGTCCCTTGCCTGGTTGAGATTGCTTGTGCAGTGCTGCATTTGCCCCTGGCAATCAGTTGACAGAGCAGTGTTTGTATGTGCTCAGACCCTAACCTGTTTTGCTCTGTCCTGTCTGTGTGGACTTGATTGAAAAGTCAAGCAGGCTGTATATAAACCCTGGTTTGTCACCAGACCCTCTTCATTCGTTAAATTCACACACTCTGTACAAGATTAAATGTTACATAACCAGGGCACATTCACATGGTAAGTGTAGAGAGAGAGAGAACAAGGTCTTGTGGCATCCCACTGTTGTCTCAGGCTCCATTTGTCCTGGTGTATCTGGTTACAGTAAAGAAATGGTGCTTCTCTGTATGGTCACTGTTTGATCCACTACCACATGGCACATTTTCTCCACAGTTCTTTCATGGTTCCCACCCAGTTTAGTATGTCTGTTGTTATTTATTACAGATTGTTGGGGTTTGCACTGAGGAACTGCATGCAGCTCAGCAGTGGAATGGTCAAGGGATTCTGGAACTGCTTCGGACTGTCCCAGTGTAAGTGGGCACATAGCCCATATAGGGGAGTATTTCTACAGAGAAAAAAATCAATTGTTTATTTTTATTAACAATCTTTAACTTGCTGATGGAACTTATTTAATCTGTGCTGTAGCAAGAGATGGGAATTCATTGCAAATCTGTTCTCAGGCACAGACACTTAGATGGCAAATTAATGCATGTGGAAGTCCACATGTTCAGGGTGAAAGAGAATGAGATCTTGAAAGCTTAATTTCCTTCCTCTTGTGCCTGCAGGGTTTTCTCATTGGTTCTTCCTGGGGATAACTGTTACTGGTGACCTTGCTGTTTAGTTCAAAGAAAGGAAGGAGAGGGTCTGGCTTACAAAACTATCTGGAAGTGCTGTCTGAAAGTGAGAAAGTCACTCTCAAACTTGGCCCACTCTTGGTGGGCCAGTTTGCAGCAGGAAGAGCATTCATGAAAGTGAAGTTCACTGTTTTGCCATGGGAGAAATAATAAAGATGATGTTGGGTTGAGGAAGAGATGAGTTTTAAATGGTAAATTATATGTTGATGCTTTGTTTGCTGCCAGGGTGCAGCTAAATCTTTTTGGCTTGCAGGTATTTTGCTTAAACATTTTAAAATTCAGTGGAAGTTATTGCCATGTGATTGTAACTCAAAAGACTTACTTTTTAAAGCAAAATAGTTCTGAATATTTGTTTCTAGGCACAATAGTACACTCTCTAGTGTCACAATAGCCTTGAATTGACTGATTGTTTGGAAGAGCTGAACTTTTTAAACTTGAACTTTTCCCTTTTAGGCACAAGTGCAGATAATTCATGCAAATGCCCTAGAGAAGAGTGAATTTGTCCAGCTGCAAGCTTTGTTTCTGGGTCCCTGAGAAAATAAACACTGCCTGCAGCTCCCTTAGCTCCTCTAAGTCAATGCAGATACAGCACCTCTCTCGTCAGTCTGTTCTCATGTTGGTTTTTGGCTTTTATGCTGTGGTATAAGCACCTTTCCAAGGAAAAAATGAGACCCAAATGTGTATGATTTGAAGGCAAAGCTGCAAGCTACTAAGCCATTGATGTGGAACTGGGGTAAAAGTCTCTTGCACCCCAGTGAGGAACTGTGGAAGGTCACACCCCTGCAGTTAATAATTCACAACTTCCAAAGTGATGTGAAAAAACGAGTGGCTATCCATGCATCTGAAAAACCTGTAAAATATTAACTTTTTTTGCTCCCACTCTTAAGTGTTTTAGGAGACTAACACAAACTAGGCCAGAGGAGGGGGCTTTTGACTGCAATAACAAAGCATCTCATGAAAAAAAATTAAGTTTTTTTTTTATGGCAGTTCCAAAAGACTTCAGTTTTTACTTCAAATGAAAAGCACGATCTAAGGCTGACTTCTGCAGTCTGGCTGCACTATGACCCAAAGTGAAGTCTCTGATATTTCATCTTCACAGTAATCTGTTTTCTATCACCTTTGTTGGGAAACACCTTCAGCCTTCCAACTTTTATTGCTAATGATAACAAAGATTTCCCTGAACCATCTGAGTACTTGGTCATGAAGTACCAACTGAGCAAAATGTCTGTTTGATGGTATTTATCAGAGCAATAGACTCTTTGTGGTACTGAACGTGACTGCCAATCTTGGCAAAAACTGCAGTCCCACTGGGGCTCTGCTCTATTCTTAGATATGTAATAGAGGAATAAATCTTGACTCCATGCCTTGCCCATCTTTCTTTGACTCGGGCTTCTCAGTCCCAGTTCGTTTCCTGTAAGATTAAAACCCAGTCTTGTGTGAGCAAGGGGGCCTGCTCAGGGGATAACAGCCTGTGTCAGTCCTGACTGCTGTGCACGTCTGGGTGGTGCCAGGCACTGAGCAGATTAACTGCTAGGTCATGGAGGGCTTTTATTATTTATTTATTTGGAAAATGTAAAGGGCAAATGCATGCTGTGGGATGTACACACCACATAAAGGGGTTTCTATGCTGATTTTAAACCCTTATCTTGTGCTTCCTTGCAGTACAGGTCCACTCTGAGGACCCTGCTGGAAAGTTCTAATTAAAAGGCTTGTTTGGTTCACTACCTGTCTTTCTCTGTAGAGCTGGAGGCCCCTGGCTGATAACAGACATGCGAAGAGGAGAGACCATATTCGAGATTGACCCACATCTGCAAGTATGTCTTTAGTTTATAAAATGTCATGTCTCTTGTAGGAGCCAATTGTCATATAACAGTTCCAGTATTTTCTGTAAAGGTGCTTGGATCTTCCTAATGTTTGTAATAATCCTGGAAAAGTCTTAGAAACTCTTTGCCCTCTTAGAGGTGGTTCAAGAGGGACATGTCCAGCCTGATGTGAATGGCAGCTCTAGGAAGAAAGATAGAGAAGGGAGACCAGGAAAATGGAATCTCCTGTATGAGATAAATTGGTAAAATTTGGACTGGATGTTTTAGAAAAGAGGAAGAAAGAAGATGAAAGACGTAGAATAATACAAGATTTAGGAATGATATACCAGGAAATTTTTCCTTGTTTTTATGTGCAAGTGTAAGGAGATATAACATGTAGAAATCTCAAAACCAACTATTTTTTCACAGCAAATGTGACAGTGTAGCTCATTCCTGTAGGATATCACTTGAGGCCAAGTAGTTAGTGTGGACTGAGAAATGATGGGAACCCAAAAGTACCACATGCAGTTATTAATAATCCGTACAGGAAGAGATACTAAACCTTCTTCTTCAGAGTTCAATTTAATTTCTGAAATTTAAAGATAAGAATAGGACCTCTATGGAGAGGTTACTGTACTATGGACTTCTCCTGAGCCATGCATGCATTTGGGAGACAATTCTGCAGTCCCTTCAGCAGAGCTGGAGTACATGGTACTGGAGTACATGTGTCCCCAGCAAATCCAGTGTGGTGCTGGCCATGTTTCAGTGAATCACTGAGTATTTGCCTTTAACAGAGAACTTATGGCTCAGCCTGGTAGGGCACGTGCAAATGTGCATGTTTTGTACAAGCATTTGCTTATGGTCTGCATGTCTGTATCTGATTATTCTTAGTTGCCTCACAACATCTTTTACTTTGAAAGCTTAAGAAGAAAACCAAATTCTACTTTTACTGCTTTTAAGGATTTGTTCATCTAGAATAAGCCCAGTCTGAGAAACACAAGAAAATGTTCCACAAATGTTCCACAATGTGGGAGCTAATGCAACTGGAAGTCCCATAAAGTTTTTAGACTTTCCAAAACCTTGCCCTCTTCCCTCCTGGAGGTGTTTCTGTTGTCTGCACACTGGTGATTCCTAATGATAACAAGGTTTTCTTCAATTTACTGTAAATGAAAAATAGCTCAGCTTACTGGAATCTGAGTCAGCCAAGGCAAGTTAAGGCAAATAAAAGGAGTACCTCTGCCTCACCAGTGTGTCCTGCTGCTGAAAGCTGCTATGTCTGTGGTCCTTCCGGACTTCCTCACATGGAGCACATTCCTGTTTCTGTTCTCTCTTGCCCTTGCAGAAGTGTAGATGGGCAGGTGTGTGTGTGCACACCTCCCTCCTGCTCTGCTGCTGCAGCCCCCAGGGACTCCCAGAGCAAAATCCGCCCCTGAGTCGCACAAAGAGCCTCTGCTGAGTGCAGGGAGTAAGGCTGTGCCAGGCTGCCTTCAGCCCTGTCACGTGCCTTCTGCTCTAATTAGTGGGGAAGGATAAAGTGCCATTTTCTTGGTGTTGGTAGAGGGTGTCTGAGACCAGAAAGGCAGCAGTGGAAGAGAGGTGGAGGGGAGGGAGGGAACAGGCAGAGAAACTGGACAACTTTCTTGGGAGCCAGCAAGCATGTTGTCTGCCTGGGAAGCAGGCAGAGCTTGTTTGGAGGCTGCATTGTGTCTTGTGGGAATTGGTTGAGGCCTAAACTCAGCCCTGGCAGCAGCAGCTGTACTTTCTGTTCGGAGCTGCTGAGAATGGATCCCAACTAAGATGTCATCCCAGGATGTCGGCAATTAACACTGTGGCAACGCTGGCTGTTTTCTGTTCAGCCAGGCTTCCCTGTAGGCCATTCAGATTTCCCTGGCAGCACTGTCAAACAATTCCTGTCGGTCCCCAGCTCTGTGCTGATTCTCAGTGCTTTGCTTCTGTTTAGCAGATATCTCAGAAGAGAATAAAGCTGATTTGAATTTCCTGAGTTGTGGTTGCTGCTCTGCAGGTCACACTGCAGTGCTCTGGCTCGTTTAAAAAGGGATCAATGACTTAGAGCCTCAGAGCATCCCTCCCACATGCTGAGAGGAAAATGGGACAGAAATATCCTTTCTTTGAGGAAGGAAAGAGCTGAACCTCCTTTGCCCTGGGCTCCTCCAGCCTCCTGTTCATGCTGCCCTTTCAAGGAAGGAAGAACAGCTCCTCAGTCCGGGCAAATCTTTGCTGGCTAAAGGTGGGGTAGAACTGTGCATTGCCTATAGAGCTATAAGTCTACACCAATTGGGGTTTTTTGACTTTTCCCCTTTTAACATCAATACTTGCAAACATTATGAAACAGGCATGCAAATTAGGCTGCCTTAAGCCAGCTCGTTTCCATCAGCTCCCCTTGATCTCCAAGGGATGCCAACAGAGCAGCACTTCTTCCCCTGAGGAAGTGCTCTGCAAGCCAGCTGAGCTGCAGATGAGAGTCCTTCCCCCTCCCCGAGGCTCTGCATTGTGTCCGCAGGGTCTGCCTGGGAGTGGGGCCCTGGCTGCAGGGATGGGGGAGCAGATCCCACCAGAACCTCACAGCCCTCCGGCCTCTTCTTCTCCCTGCTCAAGAGCAGGTTTGGTGGCTCTTCCATGCTTTCCCAATGACTGGGATAAAAAATAACTTCGCTGACAAGTTACACCTCCCCACGCCAGCCCATTTGGGTCCTCACAGAGCACCATGGAGGGTTCCCAAAGGAGCCACGTGCTAAATCTCACTTAGAGCATTGTCTGCATATGTAGGAACGGATGTATTTTTATTTCTTTCCCCACAACTTCTATTTCTGGGTGACACGACTAATTTTATGTTTAGGATAAAACAAAAGAAAATCGTAGCAGATTTATTATTTCTCAGATTTTCCTATTACGTTTTCAAGAAGCCAGTTTTGCCTGACGCTGGAGGAAGATCCTAACCAGGGGAGAAAAACAGAAGAAAGGCAGTCTCTTGAATGCTTAAGTCTAAGTCAAGACTGCTCTGGTCCTGCAGTCAGCCACAGGCTCCTACCTCAATTTTGGGCCAAAATGTGGGTTTTGGGAGGTGATCCAGATGAAAAAAAAAAAAAGAGTTGGCTCAAAGGAAGGGATAGGAGCACATGGAGGAGGGTGGGACTGCAGTTATTTCAAATTACATCAACTTAAACCGCTGTGCAACCACACCCTGAATGCTTGTGTTTATCTTTGAGCTGCTCAAATCCTCTCTTGAATGGTCACAAGAACAGCAATGCTGTTCCTGGGGTGCAGCATGCACAGCTGGGCAAGGGGAGGGATGTATATGGGTTTAGTCTGGAAACTGTTTCTTGGGGAAAGATTTTGCAAAGAGCAAAATGTTCTTACAATCTCTCCCCTTCAGTGGCAATGTCAAACCAGAGGGTACTTACATGGATTGGACAGATCCTCTCCCACTGCGTATGACACCACTCTGCTCTCTCCTCAAATCTTTGACGTTTCTTGGGACTGCCTGCATGTCGGGGTGACACAGATGTATGCAGAGAGGTGCAGACCTTGCTGGTGCCACTGAGCAGTACCAGGGGCAACACCCCTTCAGAAAAGGGAGAAGCGGGCCTGGCTGGTTCGGTGCCAGGGAAGAGGTGCCAGCCTTGCTCGGTGTAGCACAGCCCCGAGTTTGTTCGGCTCAACATTACCCCCTTGTGGGTCACAGGTGGAAATTCAGACGGATGCCCACGTCCAAGAAGGTGGAACTTCCTGTACGAGGTTTGGCTGTAGCTTAGGGCAGTCTTGCTGGCAACAGATGCACATGTCCTTTAGTAAATGCCTGGTGCCTGAGAGCATCCAGCTGCTTTTGATTGGTGTGTGACACCTTCTAAGACCCAAACACTGGTTACGTGCTTGGAAAGTCCAGCTTGCAAGGGAGGGACTTTGTTTATTTGCCGGTAGAGAAAGCTGTGCAGAAGCTTTGACATTGGGAACAGACCTGTGTCTCCTTGCACGTCCAAACTTGCATGTTTGTCCTTTATGGGGACACCCCAGCACATTGGAAAGCAGGGATTCTCTGGGCAGTTTGCAAATGAAGAACCCATGTGAATGATGAGTCTCTCCATGAGCTGTTTTCATTGTGGGACTCTTTGGTAAGGTTGGAAAGGGAACTTTAGTTATTCAGGGGTTTGTTGTCATTGACGTATGAGAGATCGACTGCCAAGCTGCGCTTCGCGTCTTAAATATTTCAAGTTGGTGTAAATCAGTGCTAACACTGAAAGAAACAATCCTGAACACCCCAGGCCATTGATTTCCACCTTTCTCTCTCCCTGCTTTGTGCCTGTCAGGGCCACGGAGTGAAGCAGTGGGGACAGGGTGGGATTTCAGACCAACTTGGTATGGAAAATGTTTGTTTAGTTCAGAGTGGCTTCCTGATTTGGCTCAATGTGCAGTTGCTGTTTGCTGACACAGCAAAGCACAGGGCCCAGAGAGTGGAAATTGCCCACAAGAGGGGATCTGCAGGAGCTGTGGAAGGCTGGGCTGCACCATGGTGGGTTCCAACTCAGGCTCAAGCCACACTCAAAAAAACTCTTGGTGTTTTGAATCTTTTCAAGCAGGAGAGAGTCGACAAAGGGATTGAGACAGATGGCTCAAACCTGAGTGGAGTGAGTGCCAAATGTGCCTGGGATGACCTGAGCCGGCCACCAGAGGATGATGAGGACAGCAGGAGCATTTGCATTGGGACCCAGCCTCGGCGGCTCTCTGGGAAAGGTGAGAGGTCCTGGGCCAAGTCGCTGTCTCGGCCGTTCAGCTTCTCTTCTGGTGGCTCTGGGCAGTGCACTGAGTCATGCTGCATCCTCGAGTTCATCACAAACACCACAGCCATTGGGAGGCTTGGTGTGTCTCAGGGCAGCAAAACGGATTTTGGCCTCTTTGAAGAAGGCAGGAGAGAGGAAAAGAGTTCTTGGCATTATTTTGTCTAAATGTTTCTTTCAGTTTTTAGGCAAATTGTAATCTGAATCTGGAAAGTTAAACTGAGCAGCTGCTGAAACCAGGACTGTAAACACCTGCAAGGTGAAGCAATTTCATTTTCCCAGGTTGTGTTTCCTTATTAACATTACCCCTTCTTGGGGAGCAAGTTGGACTGACGCTGCACATTGCTGCAGCTGAACTCAAAGAATTCGTGCAAATACAGAAATCTAAAAAGAAGAGCTAAAAAACTGTGGAGTTTCCCTTTGCAGTGAGATGCTTTCTCAGGGTAGAGATGTCATAGCCATTACACAGGCTTGAAATTATGCATATTACCTTTCAAATGGGTGAAGCAACATAAAATTTGAGGGCTTGAGATTTCCTGGAATTAACAATGGTTTCCATAGGAATGGCATCTGTTCTTAAATCCATGGTAAAAATTAGTTAAATGCATACAGCCTTTCTTCTGGCTTCTGTGCAAATGTTTTGAACTGCACTGGATCTAAAAAGGCTGTTTTGTCTCAGCCTTGAAATGAAAGGCCCAAGAGAGGTATACATGATGAAATTTGTATATTCTTCAAAAGATTTTTAAATAATTTGGGGTTTTTTTTCCCTACCTAATTCTCACATTTCTCAAAAATAGATGAGGAAACTTCTAAGAAAGGCAGGAAAGCTTTCTATTGAAAGTGTTTGGCCAGTAGACATTTCAGAAGAAGGCAGAAGGAAAAAGACTGCATCTGAACTGCATAATTTGCAGCTTATTTTCAGATGTGAGCTTGAGGCTAAAGGTTGCCCTGCATAAAAATCCCTCCCTTTGTGAATCTTGTTGTAAATTAATCAACAGATTTCCAAAGCCAATTGCAAAAAACTTGGAAGCCTTCATACATTAATTTGGGAAAGGAACAAGTTCCTGTTATGCCTAATGGGAAAAATGATTTGCAGTACAAAGGTTTGGAAGTATCAGGAGGTTCTATGAGAGTTACAGAACCAACGAACACCTAATTTATGAAAATTTACAAAACTACTCAGAATTTCTTCATCAGGAGGACTCAGTACCAAAGATTCCAGCTCTCCTTGCCTGGCATAACAATGAAGCCCAAACAAGGGAATTCAAACTGACATTATAAAGTGAAATAACTCTTAAGCAAGTTCAGGAAGTGCAGTTAAGTGTTACCCCATAACATTTCTACATTTCTTTCTGAAGGGGAAGAGAGTTTAGATGAAACACACCTGATATCTTCTTGTGTCTGTGTTGTTTCTGGGGATTCTAAATCATGTTAAAAAATTCTCTTTGCAGATACAGAGCAAATCAGGGAGACTTTGAGGAGAGGGCTTGAGATTAACAGCAAACCTGTCCTACCTCCAATCAATGCACAAAGACAGAATGGGTTGAACCTCGACCGAGCACCGTGAGTTTCACCCTGCACATTCACATGGTGGCAGAGGGAGGCTAAAGAGCTCAGCATGGAAAATTCAGTTGGGTGGGAAAAGACTTGGCAAGGGGAGAGGAAATCTGGCAGTGAACACTTGCAAAGTGCAAAGATAGGGGGAGAAGAGTTATTCAGGTTGGATAAATGGGCTAGTACTCAGGAGGGCAGCTTTTTAGAGGGGTTTTGGACAAACAGTGTTTATGCACAGTGAGTCTGACTGTTCTGTAGAGCCTGCTGTTCATGGTCTTCAATGTTTGAATTCAGACTGGAGTGATCCCTATAAAAAGTACTGTTCTGAAAAGTGATACAGTATCAGTAGAGATAGGTGGAATAGGTGATTGCTGATATTTTTTCCTGAGTATTTTGTTTTCAAGCTCATAATTACAAACCCTTTGGTTAAAATGTTGATTTTTTTTTTCTTCTTAAGTGACTGATCTTGTCTTGCTTAAACAGGTGTGTTCTGTCAGTAATTACATGCCAATAACAACGGGGTCTCTAATAGCAGTAGTCTAACAGATGATTTAAGTGGGACTAGGGTGGCCCGTAGATCTCTCTTGTAACTTCTGACTTAAGTGAATTTATTATCTGTACTTCTGTCTTTCTGGGCTTCTCCCCTTCCCCTCTTAGACTTCAGGTGCTAGTACACTGCCTTCCCATCAATTTTAATGTTTTCATCTAAATGATACAGAAAAACACACATCTTTGCTGCACTCTTTCTTCTTGGTATTTCCTGTGGTTTCCTAGTCTCTGATGAACATCTCTGCTTTCAAGAGTAAAGATCAGCATGAAATCAGCACTTCCCTGTAGTGCCAGTCAGGGACAGCACTGTTTCAATTCCTGTTTCATTCTTGATTCAAACATTTCATGAGAAAAATATTTCTTCTTGTTGTCCATTCTTGTTCCATTTTGTGGATGACTTCCGATTTGCCAAATAAATGAATGTTTATGGGTTGCCTAATCCTTTGGGGGAAGTATTATATGTCAATTGCTAATTCTTTTTGCTAATATGTAATATGAGATATAGGTACTTATATTTAAAAAAATCTCAAGTGACTTTATTATTGCTTTAGGAATAATCTTACTGTTGCCATATAGTAATTATATGGAGTCAAATTCTGATCTGACTCAGGTTTTGAGTAGTATTTCTCTGCCTGCAGGTTGGTCACATTGGACCATTGGTTGGTCCCACTGGCCCCACTGGAAAAAAAATATAAAATTTTACCATGTGATTTGCACAAATCACACCCAGCCTTGGAGAGCTCAGAAGTACTGGGCAGGATTTCTCACAGATGCTGGGCTCCTTCATGCATCTGCTTGTCCAGCGTAGGCTCTGAGTCCTCAGTGGTTGAGGGTGACCACAAACATTTTGGGTGCACGTCAGGTCAAGGAGGCAGCTGATGGGCAAGCCTTAATGCTGGGAGGCAGTTGTTGCTTAGATGAGAGAGCTTTACGTTATTCAGGGTGAGATAAACAGAGATACATTTGAGACAGAGTGGTGAAAGGTTAGCAGAGGTCTAAGATGAAGCACACAAATATTTACCTGGGTTTTTAACTGTTCTGAGACGGAGGAAGGCAGGTCAAATTCAGAGCCTCACATCTGTAACAGTGCTCTTTGTTGCAAATCTCTTACCTGCAGCAGCTGCACACTCACTCTGCCTGAAGCCTGAGTGGTAAGAATGGCTGGTTCCCAATGTTTGCCTCCTAGGAGGTCAGTACATTTCTCTGAGGTCTATGGTTACCACTGGGGAAACTGATAGGTCACCTGTTTCTCCAAAAGCACTTCAGTTAAGGAAAGACAGCTATCAGCTGTGTTACTGTGGTGATACTATTGGAGGGATAGGGGAAATCTCAGCTTAAAACAAACAGCAGTGTGTCCTAATACTTTCTTCCTCCATCTTACTAGCTGCTTTGAGAGGAGTTTGAGAAAGGTCTTTTTCTCCTTGTGCAGTTGCTTCTCCTCTCCATGTAGCAGATACAATGGGACTTGTTCAATGCACTGACCATACCAAGAGGGGTGGTTTGTGCTGGAAAGCAGTATTTACTTACTACCTCTGACTAACTAGTACTTAAATGAGAGCTGATGATTACTCTTACTGTGGCTAAAACTGATCAGTCAACACATTTTACAGAACAGTGTGGTATAGATGAAGCAGAAGAGGAAGATCTTGTTATGTCTCTGCCTTCCTTAACACACTGTCTCAGCATGTCTCATGCATTTGAGCAGAATTGCTCAATGTGCAGTAAGTAGAAGAGCATGATATTGAGACTCTCATCTCCAGCTGCTGCACTGGAATGTAACTTAGGAGCTCAGCTTTTGCATGCAGTAATGTATCTACATCCATGTTCCCTCCAGGTACCTGCAGGGGTAAAGGCTGAGACACAAAAGGCACAAACCCAGTGCAGATATAACTCTTTCATAGGACTTCTGAGCACCTGAGATGAAGGACAATTTTGTGCATAGTCCTTCTGGTGCAATCCTTGCTTGCATTGCTTGGGCCTGGTAGGGCTGGGACTTGGGTCTGTCCTTAGCTGTAAATCTTGTGTAATCAAAGGCAAGTAATTTAGCCATTGAGCTTCAGTTCTGAATCAATAAAATGGGACTAATAACAATGTCATCTTCTTGAGGCACCACAAGGATAAATATGTTAATGATTACGAGGTGCTGGCTGATGGGAAGCAGGCTTGTGTGTAATCATATCCTGCACTGTACACACCAAATCATAAAATATCAAACCTGTGGTTCTTTGCAAGGATCCTGTGAATAACTGGTGCATTAGAAGTTCTTTAGGAACTTGACAGGAACACTCTCTTGGGGCATGGCAAATTGTTTCAGAACTGCTTTCCACAGGGAGCGCTGCAGAACCCCAGGCTGTCAAATTTGCACCCAACTGACAGTAGGATGTTAAAGTCTGACACAGACTCTAAGAGGTGCAGAAGAGGAATGTGCTGTTTATTTATCATGGATTTGCAACCACCAACTGCTTTCCTAGTAGCTTTCTTCCCTTTCTTTTATCCTAACCCTACCACCCACACACAATAATCTATCAAGGTTTAAAGCAGACAACCTGTTCTGCATTCAGCATCACAAATAGTATCAGAAACACTGAAGCTTTTGAATATTTATTTGTATAAAATGTAGAGGATCCCGATTCCATGTAGATTTCCCAGTCCTTGTATAGTTACAGTTTTCAGTGCTTATGCAAAAACCTCATATTATTTGGTTGCAGATAGGGCTTGATTTGGTTGCAGATAGGGCTTGAGTGTTTTGGCTCCAGGAAAACATATACTGACATGTTAAGCATGCATATTACCAGTTGTTCACTGTCCCAAAGTCCTAAAAAAGTTTCTTTGAAAAAAAGCTGGTTTCTGTCAAAACCCTGCTGGGCAGCTGTAGTACTTTGATTCATTAGTGTTATTACTGTAGACTGTGTAGCCCTTTTTCTCCTAAGGATATGAATAAAAGCACACTTAAAGCTTAAAACTGCATTGGACATCTGTTTCTCAAAATGACTGTTGGCTCAGTTCATAAGCAGCCATTAAATCAGTTTGTACGTATTAACAAAAGAACATGTGAATTAATCTCTGGAAACATGACTAATCATTTTGAACATAGGTAACTGAATACTCTCAATTACCACTTGGAGAAATAAGACATGCATGAATACCAGTGTGCATTTCAGTGGCACGTTATTTGTTTCTTAGGACCCATCAGCTTAGTAGGTGCTACTGAGACACACAGAAAAGCAAGGCTGCCAGTCTTCTGAATCCTGCAGATTGACTCTTATTGGATGCAGAGAACTGTTACCCGTAGGGGATGTTTAAATGTCAGACTAAACACTGCTGCTGTCAAGCCCTCAGTGGGCTGGAAGCTCCAGATGTCAAAGTTCAGTGACACTTGTGGAGTCTTGCTTCGATCACTACTTAATTTCTTGATGTAATAATTTCTGGGGCCGAGTCTTTGGTTGTCGCTGGTAATTAGCTCTGTGCTCTCCTGTGCAGTAGGTGAGTAGTATCTCCATGTTACAGATTAGGACAGCAGAGTTAATTTGCCACAGTTGCAGTGAGAGCCAGCATTGGGATAGGGGAATTCTTGACCTTTTCCACCCCTCAAGGGCCCCCTTGATCATGCAGCATTGCTGAAATTGATGTTTTTCTGCCTCTTGGCTGACTCAGACTGTTCTACTGTGAGTTGAGGCATGGAGTAGAAACCTAGTGCTAGCACACTGCATTACTGAATGTGTTGAAGCTAAAATTATCTATGGTTGTTGCATTTCATTGTGCCAGAATTCAGGTAGTGCCCACGCAAACCCAGTGTCTGAACATTAGGTTTGAGTGATAGAAAAGGGTCTCCAAAGTCTGTATTACTTTGATAAGGCTTTTCCATCATGTCTCTGCTCTTTATAACTCTCCCCCTTCTCAAGGAGGATCAAGAGGTGTGGTTCACATGCCTGACTCTCATATTTCTGTCTGGGATTTCCTAGGTAATTGTGCTGGTCCCTTATGTATGATGTCCCATTTGTCCAGGGACCCACAGAGACCTCAAGTCCCATCTGCATTCAATTTCTAGGCAGAAAGACAGTTTGAGTCTAGGGAAACCTGAACATATGGTAGCCCTGTAGCCATGTGCTAATTCCATCCAGCCCTGAACAGTTTCCAGCTGTGCAGGGAAATGAAGTCAGGTTCCTGGCAGAGTAGGGAACAACCCTCCGGCAGGTGGGGCTGGCAGGACTGTCCTGGCAGTGACCTGCTGGAGTTCTGCACTCTGAGCATCTCAGGTGGTTGCCCTTCCCTCATGGGAAGAGGGAGGAGTTGTGTCACTCCAGAATTCCTCCTGGGATAACCCCAGACTATCACATGGTGTGCCTGGTTTGGAGCACATGAGTAATAGTGGCACTGCTTCCAGGGCTGGAGTCCGCTGCTCCTGGAGTTCTTGGTAAATAGGGCACATGGATGGAGCAGCACTGGGTTAATGCACATTA